ACCTGACGGGGCAATGGCAGATTGTCGCCGTACCACCGATTCAGAGCCTTCCACAGAGATTTGGGCACCAGCTCAAAGTCGTGGCTCTGCACGATGGGCGTGTCCCGCTTCAGGTGGCCGCCCTCGCCGGTGAGGGTGCGCACATTCCGGTAAGGATTGGCCGTGATTAGATTGCTGTTGTCAATGGCCCCCGGACGCACGGGACCGCAGTGGCGGCCAGCCGAAATGCCGCTGCTTGCCGAGCCTGATCCAGAGCCAGAGCCCAGCGAGTAGCTATCGTGTTGTTCTAGGCTGTGGGTGTTGAAGCTCTCGTCGCATACAAGCGCCTCATCCACAGCACTGCGCTGGCTGGCGGTGCGCTTGCAGTAGTCGCAAGTGTGGGCCGTGTGCTGGGTGTACGACATCCAGTTGAGCCACCAGTCGCGCGATATGAGATACCAGAACTGGCCAACGCGATACGGACGCCGCTCCTCGCGTCGCAGCCAGCCACGGACGATGTCGTTCTCCATGTGCTTGCACTGCGGCCAGAGGCCGAAGACGATGTGGCAGAGCTCGAAGATGAGGTCCAGAAGGGGCTGCATCAGCCGAAGATTGCACTCCACGTTCCATAGCATAAAGTCCTCGGCCGTCAGGGAGACATTGTCGCGCGTGACGTTGCTGGGTGCCCCGTCCGGACTCTTGCGCTGCCCAAACTCGAGGAGATCGCTGATGACAAGCTGTTTAGTGAGCTCCTTGTACTGCTGAGAGTCCCGGTTCTCCTTGGCCACAAACAGCAGAACATTGATCATTTGCATGGTCTCCTCATGGCTCAGCACTCCATCCCGATCCACATCGAATATCTTAAAGCAGACTGCAAAGGGCGAGTGGTGAAATTGAGAGAACGATTGCGGATTGGCATTAGCAGTACTTACAGCGCGTCCTTTCCACACCTGGTCCACGACAGGCTGCACTTACACCACAGCACAGCTCCTTGAAGTCGATGTGGCCATCGCGATTCTCATCGAAGGCATTGAAGAGTCCGGCCAGTGCATTCTTTGGTATGGGGGGGCTGATCAGGGGGCCAAGGAACTGCAAATCGATTTGGCCATTCTGGGAAGTATTCTTCAAACGCCAGAACTCTTTCTCCAGATCTCCAATGTCCTGCATAAAAGTCAAAAATTAATGAAATGCAAATTCTGGTTCCGTCCCCATATCCCTCTCACCTTTTCCTCCAAATGTGTGACTCCAGCCAGGCTCTGATAGAATGTGGGCGTCTCTAGCTCTGAGGTGAGGCTAACGCAATTATCGGCGAGGAGCCATTTGGAAAGAACGGTGGCGTTGCGATGCTTCACAATCCAGTCCTGAAACTGCTCGAAATTGACACGTTCGCTTTGCGCAAACAAGGAGACACTCTCGAACGGAGCCAAATTCACGTTGCGCACATAGTCCGACTTGACGATGTAGGTGCCAGAGTCGTTGCAGTAGAGGTTCCACAGGAATCTATGGGGAATGAGAGCGTTAAGTTCGGCAAAATACCGGCAAAGTATTTCAGATCACTCACTTGGTTTTCTCCTCCTGGGAGCCGCGAGTGATCAGCACCAGTCCGCAGAGCAGGTCCTTGAAGGAAATGCCGCGTTGGGTGCCACCGCAGGCGGCATAGAGCATGTCAGTGATCTTCGGCGGCACGCCCTCGCACAGAACGTCCTGCTGGAAGGCATTGCGGCTGAGGTAGAGTCGTCCCACGCCCGCCGACTTCTTAAAGGCATCCTTGAGGCGTCGCAGCTCCGTGTCGCTCACTAAAATGGAAATCAATGAGTAATAGCTGTTGAATTGAATAATTAAATGGGTGGTTTATCCCATCCCAAAGCGGAGCCCCCCCCTCCACTATAAATGCGAGTATAATTTTGATGAGTGATTTTTCACACCCCGAATCGGCGTGTCAGTCCCCCATTGTGACGTCAGTGCAGATCACAATGATTGATTGTAAAACTTAATTTATGGGAATCTTACTTTAGTGTGTATTTAATACTGATCCACACTAGAAGTTAGAATGCGTTTCTTTTCATTGCATATGTACATATGTACAAGTGTTCTTCTACATCCTTACCGTTATCCGTGAATCACAATTGCATATGGACACACAGACACATTCTGCGATAATTAAAAATCGTAACTCAAAACGGTTTACCGACCAAAGAACCAACGGTACAGTGAAGAGTAGAAAGACCACATGAACGCCACATCGAAGTTTGTATACTCTGTGCAATAAATGCTGTGCATGTTTGAAATACTAAAAGCAAGATTATTCTAAGCCGCGTAAGATTCGTTTGTACATATGTAATTGCTAACGCATGCCATTACATCGAGCCATACAACGGGATTCCAATCCCAAAGAGAGCAAGCGTGTGCATGTGCGAGAGAGAGCAATCAATTGCCGGTATTCAAATATTGAATACCAGTCGAGGTGAGAGTGTTTGCAACGGTAAGTACTCGAAAGACGGCCACAATTGATAACCGCGAATTGAGCGGCGTGCAAATGAAATGCAATGCGGAATAATTTGAGCAACTGCAAAATAGTAGAGAGAATTATGCGACGTCACGGAAACGGAATTTTATTGAAAAGCTGCAATTCTGCTTCATGTTCTCTGTTTTCTGGCTTGCATGCAAGCATTAATTTCCATTTTCTTTCCCCTCCCGCCGCCCGCCTTCCCATTCTTTTGCTTTCTGCTTTTTATTGGAAGCGAACAACCGGTCGCTGTGTCTAATAAGAAACACACGCACGCAGGGCCTTAGATGGGGGAGGGGGTCTTATCAGTAGCATTCGGGTGTTTTTCTTTTTTTGCTCTTGCTAGAACCTAAAGGGGGAAAGAATAAAGTACGCTAAAGCAGTGTTTTTGTGGATCGAAAGATTCGCATGGCTAAAATAATCTATACCTTAAGAAAGATTACGAGTTGATAGTATGTATACATACATATATGCAGCACCGTTGTCCCTGAACGTGTTCACAAGAAGATCTTGCAACTTACAAATAAGAGTAGAAGCATTCATAATTTATCCGCAAAATTCCAAGTTATCCGAAACCGCAATGTGTTCCCCAAGCACAGCGTGCGCTGCACTCGCTGGCTAGTCAACTGTTTCTGCTTTTTGCTGCTTTGTTGTTTCCCATCCCCCACGCCACCCCCTTGGTGGTACGACCAGTAGCAAGGCGGCGGGTGGCTAAGCTTTTCTATTGTGACGTCACTGGCGACAGAGACGCAAATACCCCCACACTGAGAAACAGAACAGACACGGCACACACAAATGCAAGTGAAAAGTAATAAGATGGAAAAAGTCCCGAAAAAACAGAAAGGGAGAGGGAGTGGAGAACGTGAGTGAGTGAGTTGACCAGCAGCAAGCATGGAGGTAGAATGGGAGCACAACAATAGAATCGATAAGGCGCAGTTACACCTGTGTTGGTGGGCAGTAGAATTGTTTTTGTTTTTAGGCTTCCAGAACTGACGTCGATTCGTGTCGTAGTGACCCATTTTAAGTGGCGGCCAGCGCGGAAGGTGCTGTGCTGGTCAATTGATGGAGCCAACACTAACAGGCTTTGAAGGTTAATCACTTACTACGTTTGACTGCATCCTCGTAGCTGATGCAGGCATGTTTCGACTCCTTTGTGCCCATAATAAAGTTATGTGCGGGGGTGCGACTGCGACGACGGCAAATACGTGGGGTGCTGCTGCTGCGTCGTCTCGGGCTTCACTTTTCACATTTGTTTTCGTTTTTTGTGGACCGTTGCAATTGAGGCTCGACTGTATGACGCGGACTAGCGGGGGAAAGAAGGGCCTGGAGCCTGGAATCGCAATCTGGATTTCACCTGTCTCAGCAAATGCGATGGGGCGATGGGGCACAAGTATGTGGAGTCCACATTTCTACACATTTGCTACATAATGGAAGAAAAAAAGTGGGTATGGACAACAGGCAACCAGTGTGACCGCGGATTTATCGTTAAAAATATACCGTCCGACCCTCAGAAATATACCAAAATATACAGTCTCATTTTAAAATTATACCGTTAATATACTGACGAATTCATGTTCTATTTTACATATTCCTCGTTTTTGATATTCCGTGGAATATTACTAGCTATATAGAACATTTAGCCATGCCCACATAATTTTATTTTATTAGTGAATCTATTTTCTACTTGATTGGCCTATTCTAAATAATTGCTTTTATTGGATTTCTATAAACCGTTGAAAATAAATTTTCATAGATCAAAATATACCCTTATCAGCCAGGCTCCGTTTTTCACATTCACAAAAGTTTTCCGATTTACTTTTGAAATCACATAAATTGGGGCTCTCTTTTTCCCATTCCGCAAGATTTCTTCGTTTTCAAAACGAAAACATTTTCGTTGACGAAATGAAAAGTAAACGGCTTTTTATACAACAAAACGAACCTTAATTGCAAAAGGAAAAAAATAGATGACTTATTGATTCATTAACATCAACTTGATACCTATATCAGGGTAATTTAACTTGTGCTTTCTTTATAAATAATTTTATTTTAACCCAACCTAAAATTTGGCTCGGAAAAAATTGGCCACAGCAACAACAAATTTCGTTTTGGTGTAAGCAGCTGACGCATTCCGATTTGGTTATCGGAACGTTGGCAATTAATAAATTTTTGCGTATAACAGCACAAATGTGCATGTAACAGCTCAGACTGTGCTTGTAACATGTGCTTAACAGAACGTCTGGGTGAGCACAGCTGTTTCCCGCCCAATTTAATTCGGACTTCAAAATGTAACATATCGATAAAAAAAATATGTGAAAAATGGAACACCTTAAAACGAAAACGAAACGTTTTGGCTGAAAACGTAATCCGCAAAAGTAAATGAAAAACGGAGCCTGCCTGTATATACCTAAATTTTAACCTCCAAAAATACCGAAAAGTATTTAAGTACCGGTCATAAAAAGTGCTGAATATTTTGCATGTAACCAGCTGACTGACCTGCCAACTCAACTTAAGCCGAGCGGTGTGAATGGCTAAATAAAAACTGGATCAAGAAATTATATTTCCCCCAAAACCTCACCTTTGCCATGGCTGTCTATTCTTAGCTCGAGCATCAAACCTGGAAATACGGATACGGATTCATTCCTTTCGGCATATCCTTTCACATGCAGATCCTCTACAATTATAGCCCCGGCAACAACGTGGTGGATATACTGAATCCTGAGTACAACGATTTCGATGGCCCGCCACCGTCAAAGAAGATGATAATTGGCTCCTGCTCGATGTTTGTGATCTTCTCATACCTGAAGCTGCTTTACATACTCGTGGCCATCTACCTGGCCCTCCATCACGCTCACCACTAACGGCCCCCGTGGCCATGTATCACTTTGTGTCCGAGCAGACACCGGAACTGCGGCTCTCAGAGAAGGCACTCGTAACCAGCCACGTAACGCAGTATTTAAAGAGCTTCCAGCTCGATGCGGTGAGATTCCTGTACGAACGCCTCACCAAGGGAGAGTTTTGCATCCTCAACGATGAGAGTGGACTGGGGAAGTTGGCCTCCGTGGCGGCCCTGCTCAGTGCTCTGGAGCCCACCAAGAAAACGCTGATTGTCCTGCAAAACGACGAACAGCTCATCGCGGGCTGGCAGTTTCACCTAAACACACTCACAGATCTCTCCGTCTACACCATTCAGAGTGTCCAAGGTATTTTTTTTTGTCAATCTTCTGTAAAGAGTTTCACTGTATTAAGTCTTCCCGAAATCTCTGCTTCAGACACCACCGAGTCGCCGCACAGCGTTTATCTGGCCAAATGGAGCAATCTGCGCAGCATCGGGGATCTCAGCAAACTTAAATTCGACTACGTCTTTGTGGACAATCGCGGCCATACGTTGAACAACCACTTCTGCAACTCGATGCTGGTGAAGCATTTCGAAGGCAAAGTAAACATTGTTATCTCCAGTGTTGACATAACGGTGAGGAAATCGAAACCCACGTCGTTTCGAATCGAACCACAATCTAGTCGACATTTTCTGTTCCCTCCTCAGTCTGACGTGAAGCTCCTATACAATGTGTTGCGGCTGGGCGGACGCCTAGAGCATCAGCACAGAAACTTTCAGAGTTTCGATCGCAAGTTCCACCTGCCAGACCCCAAAGAAGTGTTCAGCAAGCGCATAGATCTCGAGGAGTACTACAAACAGCGGGGTTTTCTAAGTGAATACATAAAGTAAGCGGCCCATTTAAACCCACCTAAAAACCTAAATTTGTAATAAGATGTGTCGTCACAGGGACTTTCGTCTGCGTCGCTTTCGTCACCAGTTCGATCAGAGCCTGCCCCTCGTGCCGCTTGAGCAATACAAGGCGAATCTGAATCTGTGGCTGGCCTCTAAGAACAGTCAGAGCACGCTCAGTGGCTCCTCGGAAGTCTGCTCCACAGTGGCATCATCTGTGGAGATCAATCCAGAAGATCCCATCGAAGATCCAGGGAGGGCTGAGCCACTGTCGGAGCATAGCAATGAAGCCGTGATCATGCCGCCCTTGCTTTTTGAATCATCCGACTCGGAAGATGAGCTAGTGATGGTGCTCCCATCAGATGCTCCCGTTCTCGAGAACAATGCAGTTATGATCGTCTCCAGCGACGATTGCGAGATCATTACGTCCCCAAGCACGCCACCTACGCGCAAGCAATCAAAGGAGTCGCCTTCAATTAAACCGAAGAGGAAATACGTCAAACGCCAGCCTCCTGCCAAGCAGCCAGAACTTACCGAATCGGAGCCAGAGGACGAAGATAGTTCGAGGCAGAAAACGCGTTCAACTCCTGCTGCTGCTGCTGCTGCTGCTGTATCGCCTACCGAAAAGACAAGAAAAGTCAATGTTCGGCTGAGGAGAATGTCTTTGGCGGCGCAACAGCGTGAGAGCACGCCACCTAATAACGGAGCAGAACCGCCGCTGGTGGCTCCCAAGACAGAGCCAACGGCCAAGCGCCGTCAGGTCTTGAGCCCATCATCACCAATAAGACGTCCAGCGACACGCGGAATGCAGCGTCTGACGCGCTCCGCAGACGCGAAACTGAACAGCAAATACTTGATGCACAGAATCAGATTGGAAGACTGCAGAAAGACCACGCCCAGGAGACCTAAGGCGGAGTCTAGTCAAACTCCAAGGACAACCACATCGAGGGGGAAGCAAGAGATCGATGTGCCGCAGGAAACGCCCAAGAGGCGACCAGGTCGTGGTCGTCCAGCCAAAAAAGCAATCGAAGAGAAATCCAACACCAGGACAACACCCAAGGCTGAAGAAGAAACACCCAAGCGAAAACGAGGACGTCAACCCAACAAAGGACCGCAGGAGAGAGAACCACCCGCACCCAAATCAAAGGAAACGCCTACCGTAAAGAACTCGAAGATTAAACCCATGGATCCCACACCCCAAGTGGTGAGCAGCAGCTCTCTGTCCTCTGAATACATGCAGTGCGGGCAAAAGTTGCCGGACAACGTGGATGTTCTGGGTCTGCCCGCCTTTCGCATACCCTTCACGCCCCAGCCGGCGCCCCTGATGCTACCATCGACCTTCACACTGTTCAGCGACTCGGAAGTGCTGTCTGTTCCCCTGACCAGCCCACAGCAGCGGGAGACTGTGGTCATTAGCAGCTCCCACGATGAGAGCTCGCTGCCGTGCTCATCCACGACGCAGAGCCGCCGTACGAAGGCACTGAAGAGGAAGCGGAAGCAGGAGACACCGACAAGTGGCTCCTCACACTTCGGACTGCTGCTCTCGCAGCAGCGAAACCCGATTAAATCCCCGGATATCTTTAGCAACTGCTCGGAAATTTCTCAACTGACGTTGGCGCAGCCGCCACCGAAGCCCTCGTCTCCCTTCGAGTTCGAAGGCTTCAAGATCTTTGGGTCTGAAGTAAAGCAGTTCCAGCAGCAGCATGCGAAGGCAATCGTTGGACCTGCCAAGAAGAAGCGCGAACGCTCCTGCCTCGACATCCTAGAGCAGATGTTCGAGCCGCGTCCGCCGGTGACATCCAGCCCCAGGGTCCTACCCAGCCTTCCGAATGGAACACAGCCCTTGCAGCTGGAGCAGCAGCAGAACACGCCGAAAATGATAGCCCAACGGCGGCGTTCTTTTGTAGAGGATGACTTCTTTGAGATTACCAACAACGGGGAGTTTGGCAGCCGCCTGCGCATCAACTCATCTGGTGATGTGTCACCTGTCCAGCAGGAACGCGCTACGCAATCGAACAAGATCACCAACTATCTGATTAGCTCGGGGCCAGAGAAGTCGAGCACCAGCAACAATCGCACATCTGCCACGCAAACGTTGCGCAAATCTCCCAAAGCCGTCAGCAAGTCCACGCAGTCTACGAAGTTGACGCGTTGGTTTGGGGCCGCCTTTGGAGTCTCCTCCCAGAACAGCTCCATATCCGAGTCCCTGAGTGCACCCAGCACTCCAATGGCGCCGTCGACGAGCGAGGCAGCTTGTCGGGCACGCTCAGCACGCAGTGCAGGACCAACCAAGAGGAAGCGTTTGGATCTGTACAAGTGACACTGTCTATACAGGTGGAGTCAGGCAGGAAGGAGGCGATTCAATCAAAATGCATTCATAAGTTAACAGAATTCAGGGAATCCCCCCGCACAGAAATTAAGACTCTCTCGCATGTAATTCTATCTAGAAATATCAAAATGGTATAATGTTAACTGTAAAACATTAAGCGAGCCGATTAACTAGCCAATTTAGTGGAATATAAATTTTCATTTCTTCCAAGCACATCCGTTTTCTGAATGGGGCCCTCAGATCCGCTGTTTGCTGAATATGTGTGTGAGATTGTGCATGACCGCCTGGCGCTGATACTCCAGCTCCCGCCGACACACGCTGCCCAGAAGCGGTGGACACTGGTACTGGATCCGCTCCAGGGCCAAGGTGTCTTCATTGGAGGCACTGAAGCTAAACTCACTCAAAGAGTGCACTGCCGAGGAGAGAAGGGGAAGAATAAACAATGCCTCAAGCAAAGATAAGGATCCACTCACAGCAGTAGAAGCCACTGAAGAAGCAGGTCTCGTGAGTCGACTGAATGCCATAGGCCACGGGTGTGATCCCTGGCTTCGTTTTGGTCACCACATACTTGGCCGTGGCCGTGTTCAGCCAGTAGGGCCAGTGGGAGAGTCGCTCCGTGTACTCCACCGTGTAGCGCCAATCATGGGCGTGGCCATGATCGGAGAGGATCTTGAAGTTGATGCTGCAGGAAATGAAGATAGAATGATAGATGGACGGGTCGGTGCTGACGCATACTCACATTGTAGGATTGAGCAGACGCATTTTGTTAAAGTCGGCCACATACTCCCAGACCTTTTCCGGTCTCGTCTTGCCGATAATGCCCTCGATCTGGTATTTCTGATAGCCGCTGGAGAGCACAAAGACGTACAGCAATAGGGCGGTGGTGAGGAGCAGCGAGAAACGCTTGATATTCCACCGACGGACGCTATGCATGATGTGGCTGTGGCTGTGGTTTCTGCTGTGTATGTTTATCTTTGATTCTGTGAATATCAAATAAACAAATGTCCGGCAGAATCTGAGAGTCTAATGGATCCCAGAGCGACGCGGATCCAAGCAAATGAGAGGCCAAAAACAGAATGAGAGGCGCCAAAAGATCTGTGAGTTGAACGCCAAAGGGAAAGATGTAATTTGCGGACTCCCCAAAGTATATTAATGTGGGGTGAGACAGTTTTAAGGCACAGAGCTGAATGCGTTCATGAACTTGAAGAATGGGAACGCCTCACCTCGTATTAATATACTTTGGGGGCACACTCTCTAACTATCTCTCTCTCTCTCTATTTCACGAATAGAAAAAGGAAGATCTCTTTTCAATGTGCAAGTTCTGATTGAGCAAGTGTTTGCCGTTTGCTGAGATAACAAAATTCTGCTTAATCCATGCTGAGTAACGCCTCACCCCATATAAATATGCTTCGGGAGGCTCACTCTCTACATATCTCCCCCTCTCTCTATTTCACGAATAGAAAAAGATCTGAAAGCCTGTACTCGTTTTTTTTAAGTCTGCAAATGCTTGCAAGCAATAATTTTCATTTTTGCTGAGCTTACAAATTCTGCTTAGCCAATTCTGGGTATCCATTAACTGATTTTCAAATGCTAAAAGCACCATTAGAAGCCCGTACTCTCAACTTTCCTTGGAAAAAACAGAACACAAGCATTTCCTGTGAATGTATTAATTTATTTGAAAAATACGAAATTTTTTGCTTGTCTGTTCAAAGCGTTACAATAAAAAATAGGAAATGAAAAAATAAAATTTATAGAAAATTTTCTGCCGTTCTAGGGCAAAACTCATGATTAATTCTAGATTTACCATTGAAGAAAATACATAAGTAAGAATCAGCTTGATTACAACACTTATTACACCTGGAAAAGTTCAGCGAGCATTTGACCGGAGTCACTTGATCTAATTTTCTGAAGTTTCGCCAATAGGTACTCAGCTGATTCGCGACATTTTTTGAGCTGGTCAGGCTGCATACGATCAAAAATGTTATGTCCTGCCGCCCAATAGAATTCCAGTTTTCCATTTTGTAGACAAGCTACCAAACAGTTCCACATCTTAATAAAGATGTTTGGCAAATCCATTGTCCAGCTAACAGTTCCCAGTTGATGCAGCAAGACAGTTTTCAGCATATAGCTTGATAGATGGGGAAAATCGGCCTTGTGAGCGTCGCGCAATCCCTTCATCAGGCGCAGAACATTTTTGAAGTTAAACAAATTCTGCGTTATCTCGCGTTCCCAATGCGGGGCACATACTATAAAGATTTTCTCGTCACTTGATCCAGGTTTCCGTTGCGGTACAGCGAACCATGGGAAACTACGTAAATTTTGGTGTTTGCTGTAAGTGGAAAGCGGCCACTCAATCCCAGCGAACTCGAATGCTGGCACAAAATCGAACGACATGGTCCGCTTCTTCCCCTCAGCTTCAATGGTGTGGGCACATCCGTAGCCCTTGGACGTGTACATTACTTCATATACCTCTCCAGACTTGCAACGAACTTTTACATTTGATTTGAACACCTCATCGAAAGCTTTTCTTAACCAAGCTTGAAGATTCTTTCGATTTATGTAATTGCCGTCTACGATAGGATGATTGTAGACATGTGCACGCAAGAATACGAATCCCTTCTCGTTATTCGTCGGGATGATTAGGAATGGAAATTTCAGCTTCATATGCAAATCAAATTCATCAGGAGTATTCAACTTCACCCTATCCAAGTAGCTCCCTAAAAGAAAGCAATGATTACTCATTTGGCTTACCAAACTCAGAAAGGTTTCCGCTAGCCCCATAACCTACCTCCAAGACTTAGGCCATCAAATGCCTTACGGAAATTATCGTCTGCCAACTTTAGCTTCTCAATCACATGGTTTTGGATTTCTACAGCATCCTCTGTGTACTTGGAGCGCTGACCCTCGTCATCAAGCAATTTTTGCAAAATACGGTGCAGTGCTTGGTGAAAATTCATGATTAATTATAGTTTTAACGTCGGAGAACAGAAGCAAGAAGCAAGAATCAAGTCACAAGTCAAATCGACTGCTCGCAGAAAAGGCTGGAAACCGAATGAAAGATGGACGGAAAGTCCCTTTTTAAAATTAATGTTCTCTGTTCTCACTGTTAACTAACAGCTAACAGTCAGTAAAAGTACTCTTTCAAATAATGAGGGTATACAAGTGAACAAACTGAATTATATATGGAATGAGTTACGGTGGAATTATACACCGAATTGTACCACGAATGGAGGGTGCCAAGCAATTTTGTAATTTAAATATCTACTGTTAATCTTTGATATATCGTTTATTTTCTTGATTTCATTACAAATAATATTACAAATAATAGATAATAAGGTAGGAATACCATCGATGCCAGCTTTTAGTTAACAATTAGGAGAGCATGTTAATGTTAACAAAGAAATACCCTTGAGAAAGGAAATCTTATAAAATTGATGAGATGTTTGTAACAAAATTTCATGTAGGACATTCTTGGTGTTCGAAATAGTTAAAAAAAAAAACAGGAGATGAAGTCAACGACAGTATTTAAGTAACTTGAAAATACTTTAGAAAAATTAGGGTATATGTACGTATGGGAAGTCCCCTTTTGCCCTTTCCTGTTCTTTGCTTTATCGTATTTTCAAGGTTTTCCACTTTTAACTAACAGCTGGCATCGATGGTATCGCTTTTAACGCTTTTACTCTTTAACAGAATACTTGAAATTACCTTGGTGCCGATAGAATATACAATACACATACCCTACATAGAGGAAAATGAAATAAAATGGAGCCACTGAAATTACCCAATGTTATAGAAAGTCTATTGATCAATCGGATAAAATCATATGTTCTAGCACTAACCATACAGTATACATATATACTGTATGGTTAGTGATATAAGTTTAGCGCGTTTTATCTTTCACCTGTCTTTTTTTTCTTTCGGCGTTTTTTTATAAATAAAGAAGAAGGATAGGATGGATCTACAAGAAGAACTTAGTAACATTATCATTTTCGCATTTTTACTCAAGTTGTTTACCTGTCTAAATTGAGGGGTAAGTTCGTTTTTTCATCGGTTTACTTAGTTCATGAATGGGCTAAAGAAAGGTGTATGTACAACAGGCAAATTGCAATGTTCGTACGAACCTCACCTCGCATGTGAAGACAATATACATTGAAGACAAAATCGGCTTTTGAATTCAAGGTATATTGAGCGAACGGGGTGGATTTTACCTTGCATGCGTTGCATGTTATCGGCTGTTCTGCCTGTTGTCCCACCCTCTTTTTCCTTCCATTATGTAGCAAATGTGTAGAAATGTATGTAGAAATCCGATATATTTTATCGATAAGTCCGAAGTGTTTTCGTTCGTTCTTTCCGCGCTGTTTTTTTTATATTATATTTTAATCTGTTTGTTTTATATTTTAACATCAATTAAGTACAAAATGCTTTGTAGACTAGTTGTTAACCGAAATCTGAGCGCCAAATATGCTGGCACTTTCAAGGTAAGCAGCCACAGCCACGACCACCCACACCCCACCCTCTCTGGTTCAAGGAATTGTTATGTTATTACTGGAAAACAGCTAATCTAGATTGAAAAAGAGGCATTTATCTTTATGCCGCCTCTATAAAGAGCAATTATGCCAACAATCATGTGATGAACAGGTGAAAACCAGTTTCCAGCTCAAAAAGAAACAAAAGCAACAGGTGCACAATTTTAAATCTCAAAAACAATTATGTGGAACCCAGACATATGCAGGTACAGTAAAGTATCCTATGGACAGATAGTGTGTTCTTGCAGTTCTCGAATCATCTATCTCGAATCATCAGTCTACAAAAATTACCTTTTTATTGAATAATTATGAAACTTGTCCAGCTATGGGTTTCCGTACTGCTATAAAGACTGTTCGCAATAGCAATTTTCACTGTATTTTGATTTAAAAGGCCTGCCCCTGATAAGCATTATTTTGATAGACCCACGCGATCAGCCCACTTGATGGCACGCGGCCCCCGACGACCCCCCTGGAATCATTTATTTAACACTATAAATAGGCAAACTTGCGTAACATTTTGCAAAAACAAGGCACACACACACACGCACGAACCACACGACATCTAATCATAAGCAAACCAACCACTATGCTAATGGACCCCAGATCCAGATCCCCTCCTAAAATCCGCCTACGAACTGTACGTTTTAGCTTATTGCGTGCTACTCCACATCGGGAAAGAAGCCCAATGGCAAGATCTACGAGTCGGCCATCGATGCAGTGGCGGATGTCCAGGATGGAGCTAAGATTCTGTTCGGTGGCTTTGGCATCTGCGGCATTCCAGAGAAGATGATTGCTGCTCTGAAGCAGAAGGGCGTCAAGAACATCACCGCAGTGTCCAACAATGGAGGTAGGTAGATACTTCAACCTATAGTAGATCTGTCTTATACCTATCCCCTCTCCCTTTCAGGTGTTGATGACTGCGGTCTGGGTGTCCTGATCAAGCAGAAGCAGCTGAGTAAACTGATCGGCTCGTATGTGGGCGAGAACACGGAGCTGGTACGTCAATATCTGGCCGGTGAACTGGCCATGGAGCTGACGCCACAGGGCACGCTAGCGGAGAAGATCCGTGCGGGTGGTGCTGGCATTCCCGCCTTCTACACGCCCACTGGCTATGCCACTTTGGTGCAGGAGGGCGGTGCACCCGTCAAGTATTCGAAAGATGGCAAGGTGGAGATTGCTAGTGAAGCGAAACCCGTGAAGGAATTCAACGGACGCAACTACGTCATGGAGGAGTCAATCTTTGCTGACTTTGCCTTTGTTAAGGCCCAGAAGGCGGATCCCCTGGGCAATCTGGTGTTCAATAAGGCCGCCAGGAACTTCAATGCACCGATGTGCCGTGCCGCAAAGATAACTGTGGCCGAGGTAGAGGAGCTGGTGCCCGTGGGAGCTCTCTCGCCCGATGAGATCCATATACCCGGCATCTATGTAAAACGAATCTTCAAGGGCACCGACTACAACAAGCGCGTGGAGCGCCTGAGAATCACTGAGCCACAGGATCCCAGCAAACCCGCTGCCCCTGCCAGTCCCGGACAGGCACTGCGCGAGCGCATCGCTCGTCGTGTGGCCCTGGAGTTCCGTGATGGCATGTACGCGAATCTGGGGATTGGCATGCCCGTCCTCTCCTCCAACTACATACCCAAGGGCATGAACGTGCTGCTGCAGTCAGAGAATGGCATTCTGGGCTTGGGTCCATTCCCCACCAAGGACAAAGTGGATCCCGATCTGATTAATGCCGGAAAGGAGAGTGTTACTGTGGTTCCCGGCGCTTCTTACTTCGGTTCCGATGACAGCTTTGCCATGATACGTGGCGGTCATGTGGATATAACCATTCTGGGTGCAATGGAGGTCTCCGCCACGGGTGATCTGGCCAACTGGATGATTCCTGTAAGCAAATGATTGTTCCCGCAGGTCATTGTTACTCAAAAATGTATTTTTTCAGGGCAAACTGGTCAAGGGAATGGGTGGCGCCATGGACTTGGTAGCTGCTCCCGGCACCAAGGTGATCATCACGATGGAGCACAATGCCCGCGATGGTTCGCCCAAGATCTTGGACACCTGCTCACTGCCTTTGACCGGCAAGGGTGTCATTGATCTGATCATTTCAGAGAAGGCCGTTTTCCAGGTGGAAAAGGGCGTAGGTCTCACCCTGATCGAGGTGGCCGAGGGCTATACCGTCGATGATATCACCGCCTGCACTGGGGCCAAGTTTACCGTCTCGCCCAATGTCAAGACGATGGGACAGATTCCGGTTTAAGAAATGCTTTAGAGGCGAGTGGTTGAGGTACTTGAGTGATATTTTAGTGCATTTATTTTGTGTTGATCGTGTGACATAAACGTTTCTGTTATTAAATATAGTTTTCCGATGCCGTGTAATAGTGCGTCTCTTCGAGAACTATCCCATGGCCTTGGCCATGTTCTTGAGTGTGGCCGAGCGATGAGCGGTGCGCATTTGTTTGTTCAGAATATCGAAGATGCGATTGTACTTGCTGTCGGACTCGGTGCGACAGATGGCGCAGAACTGCGAGGAGAGCACATGCAAGGGGCTGCGGAAGTACAGGGTCTTCTGCATGGTCAGGCCGTTCTTGTGGTGCGACATCATGTGCAGGAAAATCTCAATCAATGCCATCAGGGCGCCAATGAAGAAGTTGTAGCAGAAAAGTGTCGGGACCAGGAAAAGCAGATAATGCTGGCGTTCGTAGCCCAAGATGATATTCTGCGAAAGGAAGTGCCATTAGCCATTAGAAGGAACAACAAAGAGGAATCTTTTCTACATACACTGCTCACACCATCCATGTGACAGTAGTCCTCGCGCTCATAGCCTGGGGTCGTTTTCTTCGGCTCCTTGCGAGCACCATGCTGCACGGTTATGTCCAGATCCCCCTGATATTTGTTCGTCATTAGGTCGTCCATCTCGTCGCACAGGGTGCCACGGAGGCAGTGCTTCGGAACATGGAAATTGTGATGCTTGCGATAGCGCACCTTCATTTGGCCGTGGACGGGCTCTCCGGTCTCTCCATCGTAGGCGGGCTGTGTAACACGGGACGAGTCCGTGTAGAAGTACTCCAACTCTCCGGTTTCGCTATTCTGCAAAAGATAAGAGAGCTCGATAAGAGAGGAAATTAAGAGAGCCAAAAAACCAAACACATTCTTGTGGCGTGATCCCCGTCTCGAGGCGAATTTATTTGTTAGAGCAATCAAAAATTAGCAATTCAGATTTATGGAACTCCTCTAGCATGAAAGTTGATTGCCTTTTGGGTAACTATGTATTTCCGAATGCTACGATAAGAACTTGTTGCCCACCACAACAGATCAAAACAAACTTTTAAGAGTAGGGTATGCCAATTTCGTTGTGGAAGAGCGACAATGAAAGAGTTCGATTTCATCATTGCATGCCGTATTTCAATGTTTTCGTTGTTTATTAAATGTTATCTGACACACACTAACAAAAATATTGATAAAAATAAACCCCAAAATAGATTCCGTAAATCTATTTTGATAAGACAGAGATACAGAGAGAGAGAGAGAGAGAGAGAGAGAGAGCTTCGACAAGGTTCGCCTGTACCCACGACTCGATTTGTGAATATACTACAAAGGTGTGTGCGGGTCCACGTCTCGATCTCTGGAGTGTGACTCTATTGATCGGTTGCTCTTACCACCAGCATGCTTACTGCTGTACTAAACAGAACGCATAAAAACCGAAATCGGAATACAGCCAGAACACCCTTATAATCGTATGCGTCTTATCAGTGGCCTCTGGCAGTCTGTGTGTTCGACAGTCTGTGTTCGGCGGTTATCATTACAGACGACGGCGGCTGCCAAGACCCACCAGTTCAGTACTTACTTATCTCTGCCCCGACAGGCCAGGCAGCACCAGAAGATACGCCTATTAACGTGCAATTAAGACCCCACTACGGGGACAGCAGAAAATTGTAAATTGCCCATGCAATTACAATGTTCTCTCTGTCTGTCTCTCTGCCGCCTTTTGTGGAACTAATAAATTATGGGTTGCATAAGCAATGAGGACGAGGAGGAGGCGCTGGAGGGAGCTAACTGGTTTGCGTGCCAAATGCGATTTGATCGTAATAAAAATAATACAAATTGATCTAAAGAATAACATACACTATATACACGTACGGGCATGGGGAGTGGAGGCTTTGGCATGGAATCCGATGTGTTTGATATGAAAATGAAACTGGAATTTAATCAGATTTAAGATTAAACGTCTGGAATGAATAAAGAGTCTTGTAAGCGAGCGAACTGATCTATAGGAATAACAATGAATGGATTACCGGGATAGCAAATAGTTCTTTAGAAGTATTTCAAGTATAGCTAGCTATTTCGGGCATACATAGTACGTTGATCTTTGGTTGAGTGAAAGTTTTCGGGGATAGAAACTGGTTATCAAGATACATAGAAGGGGCGTCTTGCTTTTGGGAACACAGATTTATTGTAGCTGCAAAAATAGGTGGGAATTTCCCATATTGGACTGAAATACAGGAATCCCTTTCAAAGAGCTTTAATGGAAAATACTCTTTTAAAGAGTAACTAAAATTCCACCTTAGTACCCACAAAATATTTGTTAATAGAGACTAATTACCCTCAATCTACATGCAAATTTGCAACTTTATAGCCTTAATCCAATCATCCTCTGTCGATCTTGGTGGAATAAAATGATCTAATCAAAAAAATAACTAAAAAAAAAAAAACAAAAAAATAATTAAGGTTTTCTCAAGTGCAACGCAAAAAAAGTATTCGTGTGTGTGGAAATCAAATGTGGAGATAGAAAGCAATGGATGCGTAGCATATGGGCGGCACGATAGACACCCACTTCAGAGAGATAGAGAAAGAGAGGCCCAGGCTGTCCCCTACAGAGCAAACGGTAGTTCTATTGATTGGAGTACACCTGTTAAGGGGTACTCACACTTGAGATATGTATGTACATATGTATGTGCAATATAAGGACACCTTTTCCATCGACATGAATGTAAAGCCTTTTGGCTGATAGACAAAAAAGACTGTAATGACAGATAAGCCAAATGGAAATGGAAATGAAAAAACAAACAAGGCCAGTCGGTGTCGGTGGCACTCAATCAATCTACATTTGATAATCTACGGCGGTACACTATACATATATTATAGCTTTGTCTAGTATTATAATAGTTATTTTTGCTGGGAGTCACAGTTGGTTTAGTACGGGAATACGAGCATAGGAGTGTAATTAACTGAGATTGCTTTTTATTTTCGGTTTTGTCTGGGGCTTTTAATGGGGTTTTGGGCTCAGTTTTAGATTCATTTTAGGCGTAATTACAAACGGAATAGCTTTTACTCTATACCCCTTCCTTTCTTTAAAACTAAAAAGTAGGAAAACACGTTTGCACGACTGACTCTGACTCTGAGAGATGAAGAAGATGAAGATCATCCACGTCTCATCCGAGATATACATATGTATGCCAGACAGCCTCCTCGCGCACTCACTCTCATAGAGATAGTCCCATCCTGCTCTTTTTCACTCACCTTAATGGAATATCCCATGGCTGTGTGTGTGTACGGTGGCCTGACACCAAAGCTCTTTTTCACAGTTATGTTTGCAAGTGGCTTTATTTTTGTTTGTCTTTAGCTTTTAGGCCCTTATGGTATTACCGCAAGACAACACATATACGTAAATATTGTATAGATGTGCCTGTGGATGTGCACTTCACTGGAAATTTATGCAAAGGCAAACAGGGGAAAACTTAATTTGTTGTGGAAAATTTTGAAACCGGTTAATGGCGTCTCGTTGCTGTTGTTGCTGTTATTTTCACATTTGTTTTGGTTACGGGTGTACGTGAGGGTATCTGGCGACCTTCTGATCTGGTTAGGGCTTTCGCAGAGTAGCAATTAATTAGCATAAAACACTAGCAAAAAATTTAAGGCATTCACTTGTCGTTTTCGTTGTAAATTGTTGGCTTATTTTCAATTTTCGTTGGGACCGCAATTTTTACACCACACACGCACGCAAGCTATACACCAGTGACAGCCAGTGCTGCCAGATTTTGAGAGTCACCATAAGCTAGATTGAAAAAAAACAAAAGCTAGAATAAGCTAAAAAATTAAAAAAAAAAAAAAACAGCTTAAAACATAAAAGAACATTAAAATCATGGATACTTTAATTTTGTCGATATCCTTTTTTTATTTTTATTTATTATTTAAGCAATGACATGATTTTTTCCACTTCACTATGCTATGGCCGAGTGCTCAGCACAGTACAAACAAACCGCAGCCTCCTGCTCCTCTGTTTCTTGAGGACGTTTTAATAAAAGGTATTTTGTAAGTTTGTGCCATGCTTGCATTGGACGCTTTTTAGCGACAGCATGCTGCCGTAATTCGCACAACTTGAACCCAATTTTTGCAATATAAAAGCTGTAAAAGCTGTACGATTTTGTGGGGTCAGTTAGCACATTGCGTACACTCCTTAAATTCTTCAAAATTTAACCAGAAATTGTGAAAATTTTGATTATAAGACACATTTTCGGCATTTTCTCTTATGTAAATGTGCAAAAAATACTGTAGTGTGACTAAAATTCATCAACGAAAAATGACTATACATTTCTACACAAAATTGGATGATATACCAAAATATGAACAAGAAATATGATTTTTATCATTTCATTATCGCTAAAAATTAACAAATATTACAAAAAAATCAAAAAACATAAATATTTTTGTACTAATTATTTTAAGCCAAAATAAGCTAAATTAACTTTTAAATAAAAATAAGCTAAAATGGCAACACTGGTGACAGCCGACTTATCGTTAAAATATACCGTCCGACCCTCAGAAATATACCAAAATATACCGTCCAATTTTAAAAATATACCGTAAATATACTGACGAAATTAAGTTTTATTATACATATTCCTCAATTTTGATATTCCGGTGATTGATGATTGATGATATTGACAAAAAATACCAATGTACCGTAAACATACCATCGATTTAATTTTGACCTAAAAAATGACCGAAAAGTATTAAAAATACCGTTAACGGTCACCCTGCACGCCAGCTTTTTGCGGGGACAAGATTTTATAAAGTACAAAAGCCATTAAAACACAACACCTTAAAGCTTTTGTCGAAGCTTTTGGAGTGCGGTGCTGCCAGCTTTTTAAAAGAAAAAATAATAATTTAAAAAAATATTTAAGAAGAGGCAACACTTATTTAATGCAACAAAACGAAATTTTCATTAAAAAAGACAACATAATATATGACCTATTAATGCATTCAAATATAATGAACAGCAGGGTAATTTATCTGCAGCCTCTTTTATAAATAGTTTTTTTTTCGTAAACCTCAAATTTTGTTTTTTGTAGTTCCTTTTGCGGTTGTGAAAATAGCTGATTTGGCAACAGCGAAAATAGCAACGATATTGGCGTGAGGCCCGACTACGAGAAAAGCTTAATGGTGGTTGTCCCTGCAGAAGCTTTTTTCAAAGATCTCTCTCTTCAAATAAAAATCAAAATAAAAATAAGCCAAAACGTATTTGTTAATTAATTATTGTTGAACTTCTGGCGGGGGTTCAAAAACGAGCCAAAAACTGGTTGAGGCTTTCATTCTGGTTTACTTTTGTTTGCTTTTTGGTTCTCCCAAATATTCTTTTAACACAAAGTGCACATAGTATTTTGCCATATATTCCATATCGTTTTGGCTACGTTCTCTTCCCCTATATACCCGTTCTTAAACGTTTCTGATCTTGCTTATTATCGTATAGCCGTAATTATCTTTTTAAGATTATCAACATGTTTTTCGTGAACGAGAGGTCTTGAGCGGCTTCGACGGGGATCCAAAATTTAGTATCCGCCCGGTCGGCCCAGCACTCGGTTCTCGTTTGAAGAAGATCTCTCCCTCTTTTCCCAAGCAGGAAATCGCAATCGCACTGTACCATATATGTACCTGTTGTCTTTTCAGAGGTTTTATCGCCGTGTGATAAAAGATTTATACGACTGAGCTCAAATAGTAGCTTTATCAAATACTCGTGCGCTACCTTCGGGCCCCTATCTATCAGGATGCAGTGAGTCATCATCATTATAAACTCTTAGCTAACTGAAATGACAAGACACTGCTCTCGATCAAAATCCCATTTAATTCGGTTATATATCTTAATGGTTTGGGGAGTTTTTTATCTAGAGAACCCTCTCATGACGGTTTATTGATTGACGATTGTTATTGTGGGGATTGCAAAACACTTATCAATCAATCAAATCGCTTCACAAACAAGTTCTGATTGCTCTTTTGATAGGACTGATACTATAAAAACTGTGGCCATCATATACCCCACGACAACAAATGGGGAATCAACTGGGCCAACAAAACCCTCGAATGTCAGCAGCGATGATTACGATCCGCATCTGAATCGGAATGTGAAGAATCCGACAACGTAAGTAGAGTGTTTTTCCATGGCATATTCCAGAGGTTAGCCAAAACATTATCTTTCCTTAGGAACTGGCAGACTTTTGCCCATTTCCTGAAGGCCTCTGTGGGCACTGGGGTCCTGGCCATGCCCAGTGCCTTTTCCCATGCGGGTTATGTGAATGGAACGATCCTCACTTTGATCATTGGGCTTCTGGCGCTCTATTGTCTGCATATTTTGGTGGGTAAGCCCTTCGTGGAGGTAAGACTTTTCTAATATCTGTATATATTCCCCTGCAGATCAGCTGCATGTATATCCTATGCAAGCGTCAGAAGGTGCCGTATGTCAGCTTCTCGGAGGCCATGAATTTGGGCCTTAAACAGGGTCCACCATGGCTTCGTTGTCTGGCTCCCATTGCCATGTATGTGTGTTCCTTCGCTCAGGAAATCCTTCCTATAATTTGATTTGTTTCAGACCCTTTGTGGATGGTTTTCTGGCCTTCTATCACTTTGGCATCTGTTGTGTCTATGTGGTCTTCATCGCCGAGAGCATTAAGCAGCTGGTGGATGAGTATCTCGTGGTGTGGGATGTCCGTCTTCATATGTGCCTGTTGATTGTGCCCCTCCTGTTGATCTACAGCATCAAGAATCTGCAGGTGTTGGCTCCCTTTTCCAGTGCCGCCAATTTGCTCCTGCTTGTGGGTGAGTCTCCAAAGGAATTGCTCATCCATTTACCCTTCCGATATATCCCTTTCCATATCTGATTAGGTTTCGGTATCATTTTGTATTACATCTTTGAGGATTTGCCACCGTTGAGTGAACGTGACGCCTTTGTGTCCTACACGGAACTTCCCACCTTCTTCGGCACTGTGTTGTTCGCTCTGGAGGCTGTGGGAGTGGTCGGTTCTATATCTACAACACTATATATATATTCATATTCTATCAATAGTTTTCTTCTTCCAATAGATCCTCGCAATTGAGGAGAACATGGCCACGCCTGGGGACTTTGTGAAGCCTTGTGGCATCATGAATTGGGGCATGTCCATTGTCCTAGGTCTGTATGTACTCTTGGGATTCTTTGGCTATTGGAAATATGGCGATGATGCCCTCGGTAGCATTACCCTTAATATTCCACAGTGGGATATGTGAGTTTTCTTCTTTGTTATATATCTTTGTCATCCATGCTTTATCTGTATTTCTGTGTGCATTCTCAGACCCGCTCAGGTGGTGAAGATCTTCTTTGCTATTACCACTTGGATATCGTATGCCCTGCAGGGCTATGTCACTGCCCACATACTGTGGGGCAAGTACGTGAGCCCAAGAATCAAGAACACCAAAAGGCACTCACTGTACGAACTGATCTTCAGGGCTATCATTGTGCTGCTGACATGTAAGTTCTTCCGACTGGTGCTACCTTTAGAGGTATCTCTAAATCTGTTCTCCCTCCTGCAGTTGCCTGTGCCATTGCCATCCCAGATCTTTCGGTCTTCCTGTCGCTGGTTGGCTCCTTTTGTCTCTCCATCCTGGGCCTCATCTTCCCGGCATTGCTGCAGATCTGCGTCCAGTACGAGCATGGCTATGGCCCGCTCCGCATAAAACTAATCATTAATATACTTTTGCTCTGCTTTGGGGTCTTTGGTGGGGTTGTGGGCACCTATGTGAGCATTTTGGAGATCATTGCGGTGTACAAATAAAGGTGGACACACAAATTTGATTGAGCTGTGGCTGTGGTAACCGTGTAACCGGGGGCCCTTGGGTAAGGGTTCGGATTGTGTTTTTCTTGAGTAAATATTGTTGCACACACACAAACACATAATCTTAAGCAATCACACACAAACACACAGAAATGTAGCAAGTTGGTTTATGGCCAACATATCAAACATGGCCAGAGTCAAGAGTCAAGCAGCCAAAGCAGACCAAATATTTTTAATTTTAATTAAAAGCTTAGCAGAGGTCCTGCAAGTGCAAGAAGGGAATGTGCATGTGGAATCAGAGGGGTACGAAAAGGTGAGACAGTGGGAGTGTGTGTGTGTGTGCGAAAGGGAAAGGGAGAGGGGGCCACGTTGCAACGAACTGTAATTAAATGCAACCGCAATTAACACAAAAGCGCCGCAGGTCAGCAAGCCAGACACACGACTCTCGGACATCCCCTCTGCCTCTCGGATGCCGTGTACCTCCTCCCCCTACTGCCACACCTTTGCGCCGCCCCCCCCCCCCCCCCCCCCCCCTTCTGTTGCATCTCTGCTCGAGTCCCCCTCCAGAATCCTCTTGCATTTTATTTACAATGTTTTGCGCTCAGGAGGTTACTGACAACCTTTCTGCCTTCTGGCTGCCTGGCTTCTACCTTTAGACACCTTTACACACCTTCCACCCCAACCCTTAGTTACAGCAGCGACCCCACCCACCCCGTTGTTCACCTCATTTCCCCCCGCTGTTTCTGCCCGATGTTGCTGTCTTGTGTGAAGGCCACAGAGAGCCGGACTGAGCCACAATGACCGCCGGGCCCCTAAGAAGCCGGCAATGAAGCCAAATGGACAAATGCCGGTATGTCAGAGCGAGGTGAAGCTCAGCAGTTGTGAAGGAATTCCATTTTAATGGGGATGGGAAGAGGATAGAGAGGAACATCACTAAATCCTATCAAAAACGTTGTCTGGAGAAACGTACGTATCTTTAAATGAAGGATACATATACCATTTACTACATATCATTGAATTTTAGTCTAAGTGAATTTTGTCTAATTCAACGACTCCCTGAGATCTGAGTTATACGGTAGATAAATTTCGATCAAACTTCTGTGGCAACCCTCGCTTTTGTCTGCTGGCTCCAATTTGCCCGCTCTCCAGCCCAGGAATGTGTTGAAATGTCGTTTGCTTTGTACGTTTAATTACTCTTTTGACGGAAATAACACAACATTCGTGCACTATTTGAAATTGACAACAACAAAATGGGACCCAGCCACAGCCACAGAGGAACGGGAGATACAAAGAGGAGATTCCGGAAAAGGTTGGCCAAAAGGGCAAAGAAAAGGTTAGAGGAAGTAAGGGGGCAAAAGGTACATCAAAATGGTGAAAAAAGCTAGAAATTGGGTGCACAATTGGAGTACTAGAAAAGAGGGAAAAATTCAGCGAAGCTTCGCGGAAACTTCTCCTCCTCTGGAGGAAGAGAAATCGAAACCAAAAACTTTCAGGACCCTCGAGTGAGGAGCCAAAGCCAAAGCCAAAACTGAAGCCAAAGGCAACACCGTGGGGAAGTGTCCCATGGATTCGCCTGAGTTCCAGTTTCCATCTTGAATTTCTCCAGCTTTTAGTCACCCTTCATCAATTTGCCTCAGAAATCGCTACGCTTTGACCAGCATCGAGGCAAATTAAATGACAAGTTTTACTCTTGTGCTACGCTTTTATTTATATATTTTTTCCACTGGTGCCTGGCAGTGCGAGCTGGAGCTGGAGCAGGAGCAGGAGCAGGACGATTTTAATTATATTTGTGCAGGCAGCCAGGCAGCTTTTAGTGCTTCCGGTCAGTTGATTCCGGAACCAGTCCGCCCCCCCCCCCTTAGGGGCTTAGGGCAATTGAATTACGCACAATTCGAGGTCCTTCCACAGGTAGGAGCCATGTCCACGGAACACATGGCCATGGATCGACTGGTATCGCTATTCAGTCCACTCCGAGTGCGTAAAAGTTAATTAGGGAATGTCATGAATAAATTTCCCGCTCATCAAATGGAGTAATTTCATCATCCATGTGGCTGCAGGGAAAACGAGCAGTAATTCTACGAGTATTTATTATATTTCTCTTTCATTTTAAACCTAACATTTCCCTCATAATTGTATCCCACTTTTTTGATAGATTTTTCTTTTTTTTTTTTTTTTTTTGCATTTTTTAACGATTCTCTGCTGGATTATAAACTCCTTTATTGAAGGTGCTTTATTTGCTTTATTTTCGGGTTTAATTTTGTGTAGTTTTTGTAGTCAATTTTTTTAGTTTTTTTTTGTAGCTTAAATACTGTTTAATTGTCGATGTGTTTTCAGTTGGAATAAATTATTTTCTGTGGTTTGGGTTTTGCTGGTTTGTTTCTGGTTTTCCGCTTGACTCGGCAGCTGTTTTGTTTTGGGTTTTTTCGGATAAAATAGTGTATATTATATGTGAATTAAAAAGGGTTATAAAGAGGAGAGAGATTCATTTGCTTACTATTATTTGTATATCTGTAAAAGCCCTTGAAACACACACACACAAACCGGAAAGTATCCCTTTCTCTACATTTAAGAAAGATTACATATGCCTGTATTCCGAATACTTCCAGATCCTTAAAGCTATTTATCTGTGTTTGTATGCTTCAGAGATTTCTAAACAAGTTTGTAACCATTCCCGTAGCATATCTTCATCTGTTTTAATATATTCAAAGTTTTCAGTTTTTGTATAGTTTCCATCTGCCACAAGTTTTGCATATTTTTAGTAGCTCTTCAAAGTTTTCTATTATAAATTCCCTTGAAAATGTACACAGAAATTTCAACTGACTTGCACAGAAATTTGCCAAAAGTTTTGTGGCAACCTTATTTTTGCTCTTAAACTTCACAAATAAACCTTTCATCTACCACTAGTTGTGGCTCATTTTCATCACACATCACACACCAAAAAAAAGGAAAAAGGAAAATAAGTGGAGCTTTCTCTGGACATTTTTTGTTAACCTCCTATGTTGCCGCCTATCTTTATTCAGTTAATTTTCCATATAATCTGGAGCCTTTCCCGCCACATTTTTCAGTCGAAATTGAGAGCCTGGCTAAGCCGGCTTATCGCACACACAGATACACCCATTTGCCAGTATCCTGTGTGAAGTTTCTCCCACTGATTTCCACTGCTTAATTTGGCTCTTCTGCACAAATGACTCATTTTTATTCATTCAACTAATTTTTTGGGGGCTTAACAGGGAAGAACAGAAGAGAGATTTCTGCTGGCAATTTGTAGCATGCAATCGCAAAATCTCTCCCCCCCCACCCCCCTCTACCCCTGTCGTTCTCTTCGAGAATCTCTATGATTCGCTCCATCTCTTTCTCTCTGTGTGTGTTTGTGTGTTTACCGCAGCAAAATGATTTATTTTACGCTACGCTAAACACACACGTACCCGTACCCGTACCCGTAACCGTACCCGTACCTCTAGAAACAACAACAAGATGTGGTGGGATGGAGGGGCTTTGGATGCTTGTTAGATGATGGCAAGAGAGAGAGAGAGAGGGTAGAGGGTTCTGTTTGTGGCTGCAAGGGGCGCATGGGGGGTGGCTGCAGGAGGCAAAAACAGCGACAAGCGACGCATTGTTACTGCGGCCGGGGCTTTACGCTTCGGTTTTTGCACTGAGGTTTGTTACGTATTTATTTAAGCCCAAAAACATTTTGTACATTTTCATGCAACCATCAGCACCTAAAGAGGAGAGTGAGCGTGGTGCCACATTGAGTAGCAACATTTGCTATGAATAAATAACGAACGAACGAATGAGCGAGTGAATGAATGAATGAAAGAAGCAAACCAACGAATGAATGAAGGAAGGAATGGATGGATGACGACGTGTCTCAACGGGTTCTCATGTGATTTATGCTTTGAATACATGAAACTATAATAAGGAGAGCGTAGAGTAGAGAGTAGAGAGGGTTAAGGCAGGACAGCAGCGCAGTAGAGGGTTAAGGGAGCACAGCGGCTGGGAGGGAGGGTCACATTGAGGGTCAAGGGGCAGAGTAGCTGAAAGAGATAAGGTGTTAAGGAACACCCCATACAAAGTTGGTAAGAGACCTTCCCCAAGGGGACTATCCCCATTGATTGGCGGCTAATATGGTGGTCTCGTACCTGGAGCAAGAGCCTTCCCTTGGGGAATGGCTAAAAATAAACACCATCGACAGCAGCGGCAGCAGCCGGTCAGAAAAAAGGGGATCATTGCTATGTATGCCACATGGCGTATGTGTGATATGGATGAAACAGCTGCCCCAACGGCTCTGTCTGTCTGTGTCTGGCCCTGGCTATGGCTCTGGCTCTGGCTCTGGTTCTGGCTCTGGGGTTTTTGTCTTGTTTCAGGGCCGCTGCAGGTGCGTTAAACATTTATGAGCGCAGATTTTCCACGTGCACGAGAGACAAAGAGGGGAGAGGCAGGGTTAGCCACCGAAATGATTATGAATACACCCTCATGCACCATGCATAATTCATCATATTAAAGTGACCCCGTTGCGTATACGCAATAATCATACGGCATGTGGCACACACGGCAGCGGACCGGGTGCTCGTGCTTTATGAGGCAGTTAAGGGTTTTTCCAAATGCCCCAGAGAGAAAGCCATTTAAGAGGTGAAGGATACCCGAGGCACAATATGTGGGCACAAATCAATCATTAATGAGGCGGAGGCGGAAATACGTACGTGTACGATGGACTCGAAGGCGGTTTTATAGTTGCCTAATTTAAGAGTTTTAATAGTTGATCCACTGCCCGAAACTGATAGTTAAAGTCAAACCAAAAAACATCATCCTTGGGGAGCTGTTCTGCTGGGCAGCCTTCTTACTTCTTCCTAATGCTCGCTCTCCTGCTTTTCCCCACTTCTTGTGCTTCTCGATTTGCTGCTTTTCATTCCGCTACTCCATCCTTAAGCTTCTCCTTTTGCTGCTCTGTTTGATGGTTTTGTGCTATTGTTCCTTTTCCAGCTTCTACTGCTCTCCTGTGGCTCCTGCCAGTTCACCTGAG